AGAAGAAGAAGAAGAAGAAGAAGAAGAAGAAGAAGAAGAAGAAGAAGCAGCCTTAACACAAGAGTTGATTGCTTATAGTATATCAAGAATTCAGAGCCTTTATAAACCTATGCTAGGACATTTTAACATTTCTTCTTTCTGGCTTTCCAAGATAATGGACAATTGGCAGGTCCCTGAATGGTCTTTGGCACCTGATTTGAGGGTCATTAACATAGTAGAAAGTGGTCATGTAATGTTTTATGCTATCAAGGAAGAGATTTTCTGCTGAGCTTACAAAATTCCCTTACAGGCCTTAAGCACTTTGAGCAATCATTTTCTCTTCTGTCTCTGGCAGTAAAATATTCTAGGCTAGTGCCGCTGTCTAGAGATCTTTTTTATCCTGATGATTCTTGGAAAGTTCAGAATTCTACTATGAAGTTCCCCATCTCATTTCTTACCAGTTTGGTCACATTATACCACAATGTGCCTTAAATCAGGCTACCAGATTTGGGCTGTAAAATTTCAGAAGACCACCAGATAGTAGCAAAGAGATATAGAAAGTTCTAATGCTTTGTTGCCGCCTACTGGTTATCCATACTTTGTAGCCCTGGTCTGCAACCCTATCTAAGTTTTAACCTCAATGGAAAACCACTGAGCTAGGTTTTCTTCTTCTACTCCCATGAATATTCATAGCTTTTAAAAACATGCTACTGCTCCCTAGTCATTTTCATTATTTAAAAGCATGCTTGGTGCATTCCTTCCAACCTTACCATTTATTACAAAAAAGGTGATGATCTAATGAAGTTAAAATCTTGAAAAAAGTTCATTCCACCCCAATGCTATTACATATTATCTTCTTTGCTTCCTCCACTCTCATCCTCCTTAAAGCATCCTGTGCTTTTTAATCCTAATGTCTGTAGTGGCCAACATATCTTTGTTTACATGCAACCATTATAAGATCGGGCATATGATCTGAAGACATTATTAATAACATTATGGGCTCTGTATAATGAATCCCATTAGATGGAATTTTAAATTTAAAAACCTAGGAAGAAAAAGAGAGTGATGGGAAATGACATCAAGAAGGGCAGCATTTCAGCAATCATGTAACAAAAACACAGCCAAGTAACCACAGCAAAGAAACTTTTTCTCAAAGCTGGAAAAAAATGAACACAAACTTGGGTAAGTCATTTTGGCTCAGATTTAATTATCTTTAATGTCAACTTTAAAAACAATTTGAATGAATGTTTAATTTAAAAAGTCCCTCATATGTTTATAAAATTGTCTGAAATTTTACAGCTTATGTTTTCCCGAGTAAATTACACATATGCACCTATGGGACACTAAGAAACTAGCTGGAAGGATCTGCTTCCTATGAACCTCCAGTGCCATCCCTGGTAGAAATTGCTTGGGAATCCTGGGAGTTGGAACCACAA